CTGAGCTCGATCCTACAGAGTACAGACCGAGCGCATTCCCCGGACTCCTCCTGGGCAATCAATCATCGGAGAAATCTGGTGATCCCGAAGACCTTCTGCAGAAGCATTTCTGCAACACCAGAAAGGATTCAATATTTTCAGCAACAAAATGTTATTACTAAAAACAACCAAACATGCCCATCTATCTGTCATTCTTATACCAGCCTTCGCAAATTGAAACTGTTCTGTTTTGGCCTGATCAAAATTGGTTTTCAGAACCAGCCACTCAGCCACTAATTGTATTCGCAGACAGTCACCAACTGTACCTCGGATTTTCAACGATATTCTGACAGGTTAGCTAAAGAAACATAATTTATCTATGTACGCAAACCAATTTCTATCTCTGTACAGATGTCATTAGGCAATATATATAGACGGCTCTTTTTAGGTAGAGGATGGTGTTCTAGCCTTTTGCATCAATGTATACACTCCACCAGGCTGTATGAGCAGGCTTGTTGCAGTCTGCACAAACTGAAGCCGTCGAGTTTTCCTTTGTCACCCTCACCATTCGTCTTCAGAGAACCAGTCAGTATTTGCTGAAGGTGCTGACGTGAGGGTTGGTGACAGCAAGAAGAGCCAGAAAAAGGTCCACGGTGGGCATGGCATGTCGTTCGTCACAAAAGAATGCAGTGCTTGATAAGTAAACCAAACTAGAGACGTGGCCTCGGAAAATGTCGCACGCACCAGCATCTTTCTATATGTTTTATCATGTGTAAGTACCTGTGCCATCGCAGTGAGGGCGCACATGCGTGCGCGGCAACGCCCATAGATCGGCGGACGCGACGGCAGCGAGCAGCCGCGCGCAGCAGCGGCCAGAGCTGCAGCGGTGGGGGCGGCGCGGAGGCAGAGGCAGCAGCAGCATCGCAGCGAGGGAAGAGGGCGACGGGGCGCTCACAGGGCAGCGGCGGCCAGGGCTGGCCCGGCCAGCGGCAGCAGCTGGCCGAGGTCGGCCAAAGCCAGGCCAAGCAGGCCGAAAGCTACTACGCACGAAATTTAAAGCGTGTATAAAAACTAACCTAACTCAATTTAGGTTTCCCCCATCCAAACCATGACATAGGTGATCTATAGGGCTATCAACTAATGCCAAAACATGGTACCCTCTTTTAGCCAAATTAACATGAATTAACTCTCAAAGATAGCATTGCCTTTACATTACTAGACAGAAATTCTAGAGTTTGAAGCTAGATTTAATTTCAAATTCAATTTCCAACTAGTACCAATACTAGCTAGAAGTATTATTTTTCTAAAGCAAGAGTTGCATTATCATTTACAAAGTTTGTACCTCAAACTTTATTAAGGTGCCACACATATGCTTTATAATATTTTTGCTCAATAAAAATTGGTTTAGAACCCCACTTGATAATTATGCGAATCATGGAACAACTTTCCGATTAACATTCTATTGATCCTTCTACGTTACGACACTTCATCTACTCATTTCACCACATGCATTAACACATAAATATGATGCTCATGGCATGTTTTAGTAGATGCTTTACGATGTAACACCGAGGGTGTTACAGGTCACGGCGAGCTGACCAACGAGACGCGCCATATATAGGGCCTCTCCGAGCTCGATCCGTTGTTGCTCCCATACTCGGACGCCATGCATGCCCCACGCGAAGTCTCCGAGGACCCCATGCGGGAGGAGGTTGCAGCCTCGTTCGCAACAACCACTAGTGCGTGCACCGGCACCACTTTGACGATGGTCTCCCACCCCGTTCAGCTAGCACCGGAGTCGGTTCCACCGCCACTCGAGCACGGTCAATCTCAGGTCACGCTGCCTCAGGCCACGCAGATCACCTCAGGAGGTGATGTGCCTACATAGGACGAGGTGGGCAGGCCGCCTGGCTTCGGTCCAGCCGAGCACGCGGCGGTTGCAGACATGTTCAGTACGCCGTCTCGGGATGACCGCACGGTCGACGTTAGCGACAGCTCCGCCGCTCGCCGCCTCAAGAGCTTCACCAGGCATGTGCTGAAGAAGGTCAACTCTCTGCTTATCCGTGAGCCTCCCAAGCAGTCTCCTGCTAAGTCGGTGCTGCCGCTGTGGAGTAGACGGTTGGCGGCTCAGCCCCTCTCTCGAGTATTTGCTTCCAAGCGAGGTGAGGTGCTGATCATGCAGCGTATGGGCTACACCAAGGGCCATCAACGCCCTCCGCGTCAGAGTTGGAGGCCTTTGACAAGATCTTTGATGGCAACCTAACGACGTCGAACGTCGAAGCGCTGGACGCGCTCTTCCCAGACGGTCGAAAGGGCTCGTCCAGACAGCCGTGAGGATGCAATGCCACCTCCTAGGTCGCACCGCTGTGTCGGTTTTGGTTGTTTTCTATTTATGTAATATTGAAACTAGAGGTGTTTTGCTAGGATGGTTCAGCTACGGCTGCTTTAGGTCGGCATCCTTCGACGCTCGATAGAGGCGCGTTGTCTATATATTTAATCTCTTCTTCTTGATACAATAATACGTAAATCTTTTGCGTATTCGAGAAAATAACTATATATGAAAATACTTTTATAATATATAATTCATATGTCGTGATATAATTTTTTTTAAAAAGATGGTTAAAAATAATATTGTTTGATTTGGGACAAAGTTTTTGCCTTATTCTTTTCCTGGCAATAAAAATGTTACTTGCCCCAGGCTTCCTCTGCTACACCACCACGCACACTTTATGCGGATTCTTCAGGTGTAATTGTCATGCTATAATGACCGGCCTGTTTTATTTGTCCATCTCGATTGTGTTTCAAATAATCTTTTGATTGTGTGATGAGTCTGCAACAGTCTTGTGCCAAATGAGAATAATCATTGGAACAGAGGATTCTTATCTGATGTAGCAATATAATTTTGACTGCTCACCATCCGTGTGAAGCTTTTCCAACTATCATTTAGCAGAGCGAGATTCCGCTGTACTTTTCTTGCACCTGCACTATTTTTTATATGCCTACCTCCCTGGGCCCATGTGCAGACCGCCATAATTTCATAGGGACCAAAGTGCCCCTCCTACTCTCCCTACCTCCCCTTGCTGACATATGGGTTCCACTTATCATCTCCTTCCTTTCCCACGACAATCATTGACCTGTTCTTGCTGCTGACACACCCACCCGGTGCCCGCTTGCTCCGTGCCCAAGCAACATGCCGGCTCCGTGCGTCCCAACTCCACGGCCACGGGCTCTATCACACGCTCCTCTACTGAGCCGACACGAGTGGCTCATTTCGTGCGGCTACCAAAGCGACCGCGGCCCTGGTTCCGGTTGGTCGCTGACGAATCCACCCTCGTGGCAAGGCGCGCCTTCTTGCCGATGCAACTCCACGGCAGAGCCTCTCCACAAATTTGGGGCTCAGGAACGAATGACAAATTAGGGCCTTAAAATTTATATACAAGTTGTATAGCAAATAAAATCGTCTCGCAAAAAAAAGCTTATAAAATCAAATCATAGCTTCAATGAAATATATGACTTTAACATGTATTCTAAACATACTTTCATTTAAATTTATAACTTTAATATGTATTCTTTCGTGAAATATGTAGAAATATAGTAAAAATATTACTAACCTCAATAATCATATTTTCTATTTCTAGTAGACATGATGTGGATTGAATTAATTTAAATAAATTCATATAGTGTACATATATTAAATCAAGTGCTATGCCTAAATGTCTAATATCTTCAGCCCTTCGCTCTAACCAGAAAAAAAAACATAAACAAATCAAATCAGCCGACGGTAGCAAGAGGAAACTATTAAATCAAGAATTTGCTAGCACTCCAGTACTCTATAGAGCTAATAAACTATACTTTGCCAGTTGATTTGACAAATGCCTGACATGGGAATCAACGTTGTATATATTTAACTGCATGGCCGATGATCGATGTGTGATGTCAGGTTTCTCATCTGCTCCCTCCGTTCCAAAATATATGTCGCTTTCGCTTCTCGAGAAACAACTTCGATAAAATATATATTACAAAAATATTAATATTTATGGTACATAATTAGTATCATTGAAAAGATCTTTAAATTTAATTTTTTAATAAATTTATTTAGAAATACAAATATTATATGTATTTCCTACAAATCGAGTCAAACTTATAGCACGGAAACCACAAATAAGGATGGCAACGGGTCGGGTTCGGATCGGGTGGAGTCTCCGTGCACCCAAAACCGAAACCCGAAATCAAAACCCGAATTCGCCCCGAAAACCGATTCGGGTGGAAATCCATCACCAAAACCAAACCCGCGGATACCCGAAACCCGAACGGATACCCGAAACCCGAATGGATACCCGAAACCCGCGGATATATATATACACATATTCACATGTATAAACAAGAGGCAACAAATAATAAATATTTTCATGAGTCAACTTTAAATAAATTTAATAATCTAAGTAAACAAATTATTATTAGTATATTATAAAACATGAGTTTTAATTCCAAATGATTTATTTCGGATATCCATTGGATATCCACGGGTGGAAAACCAAACCCGAAACCGAACCCGATTGGTTTCGGGGCCCCGAACCCAAAAACCGTGGGTGAAAAACCATCCCCAAACCCGAACCCACAGAACCCGAAACCCACGGATATCCGCCATAAACCCGATCCGTTGCCATCCTTAACCACAAACGACATGTAATATGGAACAGAGCCAGTAGTTTTTAGTTTTAAGTAGTACACGACAGCGAGGCTTCTCCATCGTACCCAGGGCCTCTCCACTCCCGGGCCTCTCCAGTACTGCGTCAGCCAGCGCGTCAGCCAGGCCTCTCCACTCCCGGGCCTCTCCAGTACTGCGTCAGCCAGCGCGTCAGCCAGGCCTCTCCACTCCAGGGCCTCTCCAGTACTCCGCGTCCAATAAGTAGCGTTCCATGGCATCGCAGTTTCATGAGACAGCCAAACCAAAAAAACCACTCGCACAGCTGCACGCCTGCTGAAGCTCTAGGATCTGCTCCTCTACCTTTGCGATTCTAATGGCAGCTTTCGCCATCTTCTGCCGCGTCCTCCTGCTCGTCGTCAATGCGGCAGCAATCCTCCACCGCCGCCATCTCCCCGCACTCCGTCGCCGTCGGATCTTCCGCGGCGACGCCGCGATACTCATCATGGTGCTAGGGGCCTCGGCTATCTGCCACGCCGTCGCCGCCGGTCCCAACGACGACACCGAGGCAATCCAGGCCCTCGCTGCCGCGGGCTTCTTCATGTGGGTGGCCGGCGTTGGCCTGCTGCTGCTGGCTCTCACGCCCGGCCGCTTTCCACCACCAGTGGCGGCTGCACCTGCACTTGTCGCGGCTCAGCTCGTGCAAGCAGCGGTCAGAGCCTTGCTCTAGCCGACGCACAGTTACTCTGCTAAACATAAACCGGTGTCAAGCAACCTTTCGATTATTATTTTCCTCTGGTCCTAGCTTTCTCTGCTACACGCCTACACCACCACCCCTACAGTGTTTCTGGGCTTCCTGTCCTTTTGAGTTACTGTCCATGTATTGCTGTCGTGTACTACTTAAAACTAGCAAATAATTGCTTAGACTCGCTGTGCTATTGTTCTTAATTAGAAGATGTAATTGTCATGTTATAATCACGGTCCCTTATTATACTCATCTTTTAAACGTTACCTAGTGATATATCGTTTCCATTTAATCGTTTATCTATCCCATTTAGATGACTATTTTGTCTGTTTAATTAATCGTTTTGCTCGAATAATAACTAAACAGTTAGCAATACACCGTTTATCATTTAGCGTTTAGAATAACACCGGTTATAATGGTCTGTTTTCTTCGCCCCTTTTGATTTTATTTATTTTATTTTATTTTTGCCTTGCACGTTAAATCTGCTTGCTTGTCCTAGTTTGTACGCTGTACTTACCTGACCGGTCGGACATGTATGCACTAGTAAAAAAAAGAAATTTAGAGACGGTCAAAAGTGATCTTCAGCAACGGTTTTAAAACCGCTACTATGCCAGCGATTGTAAAATGAGTGATTTTCGGAGGCGGTTCTCTTAGGACAACTGCAAGACAACCGTCTCTGAAAATCGATTTTCAGAGACGGTTGACTTGACTTAAATCAACCGTCACTAAAAAAATCATTTAGAGTCTAATAAAAATAAAAATATCCCTCCCCTACCATCACACCACACAGTCACTAATGTCTACCTCTACGATGCTATCTATTTGTACTAATATGTATGAATCTTTTAATCAATACTTTAACTCATAAACAATCTTAAATGAGAAAACTTTCAACTAGAAAGTTTTAGATCTCGTCGAGCACTACAACTTTGATATAGAACATTTCTCCATTCAAGGTCATTTGAAAAATTCAAAAATTTGAAATTCAAAATCTGAGACTTAATATTTATATTTGGACTCCTAAATAATCTCAAACAAAAAATTTATCAACAACGAAGTTTTAGATCTCATCAAGCTCTACAATTTTGATATAAAGTTTATCTTCATCCGACTTCATTTAAAAAAGATACGAATTCATTTGTGCTGCAGCTATTTTTAAAAACGGTTGACTTAGTCAACCGCCTCTGAAAATCGATTTTCAAATGCGGTTCTCTTAACGGAACCGCCTCTAAAAAAGGATATATTTTTAGGGGTGAATTTTTTAATGAAGCCATCTCTAAAAGTTGATTTCAGTAACGGTTGTATAACGGTTGTATAACGGTTGTATAGCTACAGTGCCTCCCGTGAAGGTTAGTAGCGGCATGCTAAGACAACTGTTTCTGTTAGAAAAGTGAGGTATCTCTAAAAATCATTTTTGTACCAGCATGACGTGTGCATATATGCATGCTCCGCAACAGTCTTGTGCCAAATGAGAATAATCATTGGAACAGGGGATCCTTATCTGATGGAGCAATATAATTTTGACTGTTTGGCAACCATGTAAAGCTTTTCCCGATGAATCCTCTTCTAGCCGCCAATTTCGTTTGAAGTCCACGCTTAGATAGAGGGGGAAACAAAGAAAGAAAAATAATAAGCAACAGACAATTACCATCTACTACTCCATTCGTCTAAAAATATCTGTTATTTTCGCTTTTCGAGAAACAACTTTGACAAAATATATATTTAAAAATATTAATATTTATGGTACATAATTGGTATCATTGGAAGGATATTTGAATCTAGTTTTTTAATAAATTTATTTGGAGATACAAATGTTGCACGTATTTTCTATAAATCGAGTTAAACTTGCGGCACAGAAATCAAAAGCGACACATAATTTGGGACCGAGGAGTACTACTACTAAGAGCAGTTCCAACGGTTAAAACTAAGCGTCACATCAGCTAGAATTCATCTATAGAAACTATCTCACGCAGCAACGGAGGTGTCTTCGTCAATAAATGAGGGCCCCTTTTTTTCTCTGCCTTAGGGCACTCCCAATGCTAAACTCTATCATGGTTTCCATAGCTTTAAGACTTTATCACTAGAAACCATCCTTTCCAATGCAAGTTTATACAAATAGTTTTAATGGAGAAAAAAATTTAATAAGCATCTACGTGCCCCCACAAACAAAGAAGATCATTTGTGGCAACGTGAGCCATAGTATGCTCTGCAACTCACTGTTGAAGGAGCACAAGTGATAGAAACACCTGTCTGCAGCACGACCAGTAGCAACACTGCAGCAACAACAGATACTGTCGTCCATTACAATAGGAATAGAAATATAAATACCAGTGGCATGCACCTAAACAGGCATGACATAGATACCGTCGTCCATTACAATAAGAATAGAAATATAGATAGCAAAGCCAAAATAATTAGATAATAGTATATATTTAGATAATCTCCAGCCATGGCTTGAGAAGTCTTCCTGCCTGCAGAAAACATGTCCAGCATTCTCCAGATAGAAGCCATCAGCATTCTCAAGTCCTGATCATCAACCTGTAAAATAAGATGAGCTAGTAAATTAACTTTGTTGTAAGAAAAAGAGATGGACAGTACATTAACAAAACCACAGTAACATAGTGATAGGAATGTATTCATGTAACAGGCTAGTATATAAATTAACATTTCTACCTAATTAGTTCAATTCCCAAACTTTTGCCAAATGTGATCAATCAAATCAGATTGAAGTTGCCTGTGAGCTTCACGATCACAAATATCGACATTTCTTTGTAGTACTTCTTCCATCACTGGGTCATGTCCTTGAGAGATTGTAGATGCTTGAACAGTCGACGTGGTTGCTTCCTCGTTCAAGTCAAGAGAAACATCCTCTATATCCTTCTCATCCTCAATTATCATATTGTGAAGGATTATACAAGCTAACATGATATCCTCAAGGTCCCCTTGTTCATATAGACGTGCCGGTGAAAGGTCCTAATATGGCTAGGGGGGTGAATAGCCTATTTAAAATTCTACAAATCAACTAGAGCAAATTGATTAGTATGACAAATAGCGAAATGCAAACTTGCTCTAGCTCTAGAAGGGTTGCAAGCCACCTATCCAACAATTCTAGTTGCAATGATTGCTAGTCACACAACTTGCTATGATACTACTCACTAAGAGCTCTTAACCTTGTTACTCTAAAGAGCTCCACTAGATGAACTTAATTAGCAAAGCAACCTCTCAATTTTAATTACACTAAAGAGCTTGCCACAACTAGTTTGCAAGAATATAAATGAATGAGTATGATGATTATACCGCCACGGAGAGAAGTGAACCAATCACAAGATGAATATTAAACCAATCATCAGGAGAATATCAAATGGCAAGAGACAACCGATTTTCTCTCGAGTTTCACGTGCTTGCCAACACGCTACGTCCTCGTTGTGTCGACCAACACTTGGTGGTTCGGTGGCTAATAGGTGTTGCACAAACCTCATCCACACGATTGGACACCGCAAGAACCTACCCACAAGTGAGGTAACTCAATGACACGAGCAATCCACTAGAGTTACCTTTCGATGCTCCGCCAGGGAAGGTACAAATCCCCTCACAATCACCGGAGATGGCCACGAACAATCACCAACTCATGCCAATCCTCCACCGCTGCACCAAGCCATCTAGGTGGTGGCAACCACCAAGAGCAACAAGCGAATCCCGCAGTGAAACACGAATACCAAGTGCCTCTAGATGCAATCACTCAAGCAATGCACTTGGATTCTCTCCCAATCTCACAATGATGATGAATCAATGATAGAGATGAGTGGGAGGACTTTGGCTAAGCTCACAAGGTTGCTATGTCAATGCAAAATGGCCAAGAGATTGAGCTTGAGCCGGCCATGGGGCTTAAATAGAGAGCCCCCATGAATAGAGCCGTTGGGCTCCTCACTGCACTGAACACGGGTCGACCGGACATTCCGGTCATATTGACCGGACGCTGGACCCCAGCGTCCGGTCGTGCGATGCACGCCACATGTCCCCTCTCTTTAAATACTGAGCGCCCGATCCCAACGGTCAAGTGATGACTGGACATAGCAGCTTAAAGTGATCGGACGCTGAACCCCAGCGTCCGGTCGTTTCCAGAAAGCATCTAGAGACGACTTTTCACGACCGGACGCGTCCGGTCATGCCTGACCGGACTCGCCCAGCGTCCGGTCTACGTCAGCACTGACCGGACACGCCCTGCCAGCGTCCGGTCGAAGACCGAAATGCACGCCCTCTGCAGCCACTGACCGAACGCACCGGTCCAACCGAGACCAGCGTCCGGTCACTTACAGCGACCTTCGTATTTTCTGTCTAGGGCGCCGGTGGCACCGTCAGACTGTCCGCACTCTATGGGCGGACACTCCGCCGGTGAAGTTTCCTACCCTTGCTCAAATGTGCCAACCACCAAGTGTATCACCTTGTGCACATGTGTTAGCATATTTTTCACAAATGTTTTCAAGGGTGTTAGCACTCCACTAGACCCTAAATGCATATGCAATGAGTTAGAGCATCTAGTGGCACTGTGATAACCATATTTTGATACGAGTTTCACCCCTCTTAATAGTACGGCTATCAATCCTAAATGTGATCACACTCACTAAGTGTCTCGATCACCAAAACAAAATGGCTCCTACCATTTATACCTTTGCCTTGAGCCTTTTATTTTTTCTCTTTCTTCTTTTCAAGTCCAAGTACTTGATCATCACCATGGCATCACCATCATCATGTCATGATCTTCGATATTGCTTCATCACTTAGAGTAGTGCTACCTATCTCATAGTCACTTTGATAAACTAGGTTAGCACTTAGGGTTTCATCAATTAACCAAAACCAAACTAGAGCTTTCAATCTCCCCCTTTTTGGTAATTGATGACAACCCTTTCACAAAGATATGAGTTAAAATTTAATTGAATCCATGTTGCTTGCCCAAGCATATTTACCATGTGTAAAAGGATATGGAC